TCGAGTTCCATATGCAAATTACCATGCTTCCACACAAAGGGTCATAAACTCCCCAGTATTTCCAAACTCCCACTTGGGATTCCGGCCTTTCTCATTGGACAAGCCCATCTTGAGAGGCGTGAATCTTCTCAGACCTAAAGGCCTCACATCAGTGACCCGTCCCGGAGTCGGTGGTTTGGTTGAATTCTGAGAAGATGAAAATGTGAGCTACAACGCTCCAGGACTCCCTACATTTTGTGCAAGGCCTCGGGCCTTGACTTTCCATTCACCAAGATAATCTGACTCAAACTGGTTCTTTTCCATCAACCAACTTCAGCAAACATCAACTTGAGCCTTCAGATTGCATCAGGAATCTCTGTCAGACAGACGAGACGTGCAAGTATCAAACTTAGTCTTATTAATTGATACATTAGGTATCATTTGCACCTTTTTACAAAGGTGTGTTTGAACTAAGAATCTGATGTTCCCTTCAGGCTGTAAATCTGCTGAATATGCAAATGGTTCCATAACTTCATTCCTTATTTCTCTCCTCTTTACTGCTTAAGCTTTAACCCTTTCATATACCAACTGTATGCGTGTGTGTGTGTGTGCGTGTGTGTATGTAAGACTAGTTTAAGTGTTTATATAGTTAATAAAGTCTTACTTGTATTACACTTGACGTTGTTCATTGTTTGCTCATAACTGGAGTCACTTAATCATGCAGATTTATGCTACAGGCTCTGTGTAGAGTTGTACAGTAAGAAAGTTATTTCCCTTAACCAGGAAATTAACGTTCTTAGAATTGACAGACAGTTGACCCTGAGAGGTCAAGTAAATATCTACAGCGGATCTAAATATTTATAATTAATTATAACTAGTTATGATTAATTATTCATATTTCCCCATGAGCTGATTCGCTACAGTTAACTGTTAATAATCGGTTAACAAGCGTCGGTTGTCGGTTAGGAAAAATAACCGAAATGAACATCCCTAGTCAAGGCTGCCAGATAGAAATGAGGTTGACTGGCAAACTGAAGAACCAACAACAGACACCGTTCATTTGTTTAGTGGTCATGATGACTGTGCACATAAAATGCTGGTAATGTTGTGACTTTTCTGCACCTCAGAGCAAAGCTGGGAATGCCACAGTTTCTAAGTCTGGAAGCACAAAGTCTTTTACGAATGCTCTTCAAAAGAAATCCAACGAACCGTTTAGGTAAGTCACCTGTTGTGTGAATGAAAACACTAGGCCAGGGCTTGTTGAATTGTAATGGAAACCGACTGTGGTGTACTCTGTTCCAGGAGCGGGTCCTGACGGAGTGGAGGAGATCAAACGACACGCGTTCTTCTCCACCATCGACTGGAATGTGAGTATATCTCTTATCCCAGCATTACACACTTCTCTCAGTGCAGTGCCCTGTCCTCCATCACTGAGCCAGATCCTGCTGTGTTTGACTAATGATCACCGTCAGGAGCGTCTGAGAGACCAAACGCTGATGCACTGACCATGAAGAGAGAGAGAGAGAGCTTCATCAGTACAACCCGCCTCAGTCACAGATTACAGTTAGTCAGCATCAGATCAGAATGAGACCGTTCACGTTCCTGCTCTTACTTTTTTTTTTTAGCAAAACTGTGAATTGTCTTTTCTGCTGAAACATACCACATGTGCATATGGCTTTGTGTCATTTTTCTGTATTGCTTCATACATTTAAAAGTTCAGATGGACTTCACTTTTTGTCCAGTTTGATGAATAAAATCATTTTGAGACCGTCAAGCATTTGACTCTGCTGGAGTAGCTCAGCAGCGCATCAGAAATGGAGACGTCCGTCGACTGAAGGCACATCATGACAGCTGCAGGCAATTTCAGAGAGAACTGATAGCAATCAAAGTGATTTCATTCTGATGCACTGCTTCACAGCAGCCTTGTTGTGTCAGAGCATCCTAACCCATTAATCCTATGACTTTGTTTGCACATAGTGTCAAAACTGAGCTCGATAATGTGCAATAATGCTACTTCTAATCTTGTGAAATTCCCAGAGCTGATGTACCGGTGTTTCTTAACAGGTACGGATCACATATAAGCGCTAAACCGAAAAATGTGTTTAAATTTGCATAGTCTGTACATGTAAAAGCATCTTATTTTATTCCAAAGGGAAAAAAAAATCTTTATAATCTTCAATTAAAATGTAACTTGCGTGGCTCTTTCTTTTAGGTCACTGTTGTAGGTAATGCAGCCTTTCTGAAATTGTAATTTCGGCTTGTTAACATGAATGTAAATGAAGATTGCATGACATGATGAAAAGTAATGCCAAATAAGGAAAGATTTGAAAAGCAAATGTAAGAGATGCTTTGACTGCAAGCTTGCGTTCAGCTCTGACTCATTGTCATTAGAAATAAAATCCAGTCCAGATTGTGTTGCTACACTCAGAAATCCATGGGTTGTTAATGCCGTTTCTTGTTGAATTCAGTCTGGCTAATGGTCAGCCTTTACCTGTTTGTATGTGTCAGTTTAAGTATATTTTATATGAGTAGCATGTGTTTGTTTGTGATTGTAGAAACTGTACCGAAGAGAACTTCAGCCTCCATTCAAACCTGCTACAGGGAGACCAGACGACACCTTCTGCTTCGACCCAGAATTCACAGCCAAAACTCCCAAAGGTGCAATAGAGAGACCACACGAGAGCGAGTGCTGATGTATTCAGGTATTCCTGCTTGACTTGTGTTTTGTGTGTGTGTTGGACAGATTCTCCAGGCATTCCCCCCAGTGCAAACGCTCACCAGCTCTTCAAAGGCTTCAGTTTTGTAGCTCCAGTCTCTCTGGAGGACAGCAAAAGTGCCCCGCTAGTCAACATTCTCCCCATAGTGCAGGTAAATCACTCATCTATCTCTCTGTATTTCAGTGAGCTGTGTATGTATTGTTTATGTGTGTGTGTGTGTGTGTGTGCGGTGTCAGATGCACGGAGGCTCGGCTCAGTTTGTAGACGTGTACGAGCTGAAGGAGGACATCGGCGTGGGTTCCTACTCCATATGCAAGCGCTGCATACACAGGGTCACCGCCATGGAGTTTGCTGTGAAGGTGAGACACTTTGAGCCGTGTGTAGAATTAATACCTGTTGCGTAGTTCTGCGTCTGCGACTAAATCTCCTGCCTAGTCAAAAAGTCTTGATTTGCTCAGGCATTTTTAGCTTTTAAGATTCATGTTTGTTAATTAGCCTAATTATTACTGCAGGCATGAACTATCATGTTTATGGTCTTTTCTGGCAGGATAAGCTAAATCCCACACTGCCGACAGTAATTGACCTAACTGTATATATCTGTTTGTAATTATGCAGTAAAATATTATATGTGATCTGGGATTATTAGAAGAAACTGCACCATGCAAAATCTTGCTTTGGAGGACAGTGCTTGGAAATATTTCACGTTTTCAAGTCCATTCATTCATCTTGTTATATCCGATAATCACAATGTTTTGTGCTTTGTTACTTTTAATCAGCTTTCAAATTCAAATTTCAAAAAATACAAACTATAAATGTGGCTTTGACGCTCTGAGGCGTTTGCTGGTGCACCGATCATCTGTTCCTCTTTACTACTAGTTATAGCAAAAAATAAACACGAATGAACATCAGAAAAGTGTTGAAAGAAATTTGACACTCAATTTTTTTTCCGCCACAGAAAGACGTCAATAAAACACGTGAACAATGTCATGTAAAGTCACATTTACCTCAGGAAAGACATTCATTGTACATAAATTATAGTCAGCTAGAAAAAAATAGCTCTAGAGAGAAGCTTTGTATTACATTCATTATATGTGACTTTGGACCACAAAACCAGTCATAAGGGTCAATTTCTTTTAAATTGAGATTTATACATCTGACAGCTGAATAAATAAGCTTTCCATTGATGTATGGTTTGTATAGGACAATATTTGGCTGAGATACAACTATTTGAAAATCTGGAATCTGAGGGAGCAAAAAAAATCTAAATATTGAGAAAATCATCTTTAAAGTTGTTCAAATGAAGTTCTTAGCAATGCATGTTACTAATCAAAAATTAAGTTTTGATATATTTACTAGAGCCCGACCGATATGGGTTTTTTGGGGCCGATACCGAAACTGATATTAGGGGGTAAAAAAAAAGTCCGATATCGATATATCGGCCGATATTCTTTGTGTATATTATAGTACATGAAAGTGTTGACTGGTGACACTATCTCGCAAATGCGCCGGCGGATCTCCACCAAATTGGGGGATCCCTTCAGCTCGAGGAGCCCTCTCGAACGCCACCCTCCGCGTGTCTGTAGCCCCCCGGGATCGCTAGATCGGTCGGCATCGGACCGCGAATTTAACCACCCATAACACACGAACCCCGGGGCTATCGACGCGGGGGTGGTCTCATTCGAAAGAGGGCCTCTAGACATACACTCGATTCGCGTTCGAGAGGGTTCCTCGAGCTGAAGGGATCCCCCGAATTTGGT